ACTCCAGCCTCAGCCAGCATGGTGGGCTTAAGCCAGATGTTGTGACCAGGACATCTTGTTTCTTCTCTTCAGGCTCTTGTTCTGTATACTTACCTTGGGGATGAAAAAACCACACTTGATTGCATTACAGGGTTTAAGTTTAAGGAGCATCTTGGAGTCCAGAGGCTGAAATTCCTCAGTTTCAGTGGGTTTTTTTCAGTGGTATTTTTCAATTTGTATGAGGAGGCTGGAAAAACAAAAAAAACCCAGAATCTCTAATCAGAAGTTTGAGAGGCACTCAGGAGAAAAAAAAAAATTTAAGATCAAGAAGAGGATTTTAAAGGACAGTTAGAGAAACATTTGATGGTGGCTGAAACAGAACATTCTGCCTGAAAGAGTGAAATCTGACAACTGTACCCTGCCATATGAACGTGGTGGAGTGCTCAAGGGACAGTTGTGTGAGTGTGCATGTTTGGTGCATCCAGCTGCACCAGCCAGCAAGTAAAGGACCTGAAAAGCTCCATGTGAGGGCTGGGACTGTGGGCAGGGATACTGAGCAGGCAGAAGGGCTGTGCCCAGAGAGAGGCCATCCATGAACCAGTGTTTGTGAGCCTAGAAAGGGAGGGCATGATGTGTTTTCATCAGTGAACATAAAGCTCTATCAGTTAAAGAAGAGGTGGAAACTTGGCTGTGTTCATTTCTTACATGGGTACCACAAGTGGTTGCGGTTGAGGGTAGCACCTTGTTCATGGCAATCTGTGTGACTGAATGTGTCAGCATCCTCTGTGTATGCATCCTGTGTCTGTGTCTCTGGCATTTGTGCTCAGCTTTGCTGCTGGGTGAACCTGCAAACCATGGCTGCTGTCGTTAGACAAATGCTGTCATCATTCTTACACATGAGGGAGGGTGGGCAGGAAAATCCAGAGTCAGCCACTGTGATTGTCAGGAGCACAAGAGGTCACTATGTCCAAGGATGCTCCGATAGCTCCCTGCTCCAATGGGATGAATGTTCTGTTATTCCTCCACCCCCAAGGAGCTGGAATTCTTCTGTGGATCATTAAAAGATTCTGGCCTTAACAGCAGCAGTTTGAGTGCAGGGGACAGGCCAAGTTACAGTTTGAATGCCATCCAATTGGTGTTTCCCCCACCTCCCCTGAAATTAGGCACTAAAGGCAGAAACACTCCATGACGAAAGGGTGGCTCTGTGCAAAGAAAGGAGCTGAGAGCATTCAGACCGTTTTTCCACCAGACAGCCACAGGTAAAGCTAGTTCACACAGCAGCAGAAACTTTGCTTGGAATGTGTCAGTTCCTACTGAATATGCTCTAAACTACTCAACCACCACTCACTGAGACTTCATTTAAGGATGAAGAAGCATTCTTAGCAAAGACTGGGGAAACCAACATTCTCCCAGTCCCATACAACTGCTGGGGAGGTGAAGCTGCTCCAACTTCTGTGATGTGCCCAGGAATTTCTCGCTAGGAGATATTCCTGTGAAGACAGAGGAAGAAACATGAAAAGTGTCTCTCCCATCCAATTTCCAGGCTATACTTCAACTACTCAGGATGCTAGAAGGTCCCACAGTGATCCTGACTGGAGTAATTTATTCAGCTCCCTGCAAACTGTTGGCAAAGTGTCTTTAAAACACAATAACAATAGATATTCCTGGCTTTGCTTGTGTGTTCACTCAGTGACCCACTCCAACAAAGGGAAGAGGATTGCATCTCTCTGACAGGATTGGTTTGATCCAAATTTTAGACTGGCTTCCCCACCTCTTTCTTGTGCATGTATTTTTCAGTTAATTCTCTACTGTACATTGTACACTGTACATTGTCTACTGCCTATTTTACGCTCTCTCAGTGTACTTGACATTAGTTGAGAACAATTAATTACTTTTGTGAAGTGACAGAACAAATGGTAACACCATTGAAATGCTGCTGTATCTAAAGATACAGCTGGTACAGGAAGAGGAAAGTTCAATCACCTTAATGTTGTTTCCCTCTTTTTTAATAGTCCACCAGCAGATTGAGTTGCTCTTCTGCTACCTCTCCTCTTCTATAGCAATAAACTGTTTCTGCTCTGACCTCATCTAAATTGCAATTCAGGTTATTTCCATGGCAGCATCTGGTGCCATTGCTGGGATTCCCATGTCCATGCTGCAGCTGAGTATCGGTGTAGGTGCTGGGGCACAGGGAGGCCACACGTGGGCAGATGATCATCAGGGAGTGCTGTGGCACTGTAGTCTTTGGGGAACTATAGGGATGCCCACAGGTGTAACTTGTGTGTTTGGAAATGTGCAGAAGGCAGGCTGCTTTAAACCTGGAGTAAAGGAGATGTAGAGTGGATGTAAGATTGATGAAGAACTCACAGGTGTCCAAACTGAGAGGTGACTGAATGCTATGCAAGCAGCCTGCAGGGATGTCCCTTGGCACTTGTCTTAATCATGCATCCCCACATCAGTGCAAAGGAATACACTCCAAAATCCTGCAGCAGGGAAGGGAGGCTAATAGATTTCTCTGATTACTTTGTAATATGACATAAAATCAGGGAAGGGAGGCCCTCTGAGCTGGGGCTGTCCACAGTGCTGACTGGACTGTTGGGGGTGCATCTGCAAGGCTGCCCTTGTGCTTCCCCCCCTCCCCCGAGGTCATGACTTTTTTAATGCACTAAATGCCTTTAACCTCTTAGAGAATGTTAAAGCATCTAAAGATTAATCTGCAATATAGTGGCAATGGTGCTTCAAGCTCTTTTCCTCTCCTGGACTCTGTGTCATCAGGCTTCTAGAAAAAGGAAACCTTTTGTTTCTGGTAGTGTCTACAATTTAATTTAAAATTTTATGTTGTACTTATTTGACTTCATTTCTCCTGAATCTCTAATGTGAGAATGTCTCCCCTAGTACCTCTCCCTCTTCCTTTGCTGTGATACCTGAACACAGCATCATCAAAAGATTCCAGATTCACTGGCAACACTTAAATTCTAAATATAACTCAAACCTTTCTGTGCAATCAGAGCTCAAAGACTTATTCCTGTAAATCAGATTAATGCTGGTACTACTTTTATGCCACTGATGCATCAATAAAGTTGTGTTGAAATGCCTGGCTGAAACTGTTACCTAAAGCACTATAGCATCAATTCTGATTTATAAATTACAGAGGTTTGGCACAAAGCAGAGAAAATTAGGGGAAAAGACCCTAAAACTGAAAAGACAACTGAAAAATCAGGTCATTTAAGCTAAGGAAGTATCTCAAGCAAGTTTTATAAGGCTTCATTCCTACTTTCTCCTTAAGACTTGTGCATATTAGCTTCCCTCGTGTATTTAATACTTTTGTCTTGCAGAGGTTGGGATGGAGAATGAGGTTGTAGGTAGGAGAATTAGCCCAGTACGTTTAATGCAGACTACAGAAATGTTTCTGCTCAACTCTGGGGACAGAGATGTGTTGGACTGGCTGTGGAAGGGATCTTGAGAGCTGAGGGAGACTGGATCAGCTCTCTGTCTCTCTCCAGTGGGGTTGTGTGCTCATGTTTGCTGTTTAAGTGTTTATGTCCTGAGTGAAAAAATAAAGGGAGATTGTAAAGGAAAGACTGTGGTAAGCAGGAAGTGCAGTGCCTGAAGGAAACACCCCTGTTGCCCCTGGCAGACAGTGATTCTTTCTCAAACTCTATTTCAGAGCACTTAATTCAGGCCAGATAAGAAATCAGGATTGAAAGGATGGTTTCACCTCTGGTTGAGTGCAGGCAGTGACTGTCTGGAGCTGAGGTTTCTCTCTCTGGGGCTGCTTCAAGTGCTTCCAGCACATCCCTTCTTTGGGATGAAGACAATATTTTACACAGGATCACATGGAGCTATACTAATTAAGTTTTATAGCACACCAAATATAACCGCTGAAATGGCATTTAAAATTCCAGGAGCTAAGCCTGGCTATGTTCCCCACTCCAGCTGTGTCTGTGTGCAGCTTGGCTCGTGCTCTGCTCTGTCCCAGGGAGCCCTATGCTGCCTCCCTCTGAGAGAGACCCCTGGGTGCAAGTCCCCGAGCTCTCCACAGTGCAGCAGAGCCCATCCTGTCCCTTCCCTCCATGCCTGCGTGTGCAGTGTCACCCAGGCTGGAATGAGCTGCTCAGGAAGGAGCTCTGCAGTAACACACGCTGTATGAGATTTTGGCCTGGGCTGATGATTTCTCCATCTCTCTGCACCAGCAGGGATGACACTGCAGAGTGAACGCCTGGGCCCCTAAGATCCTCCAGCCCCTTCCAAGCCCCCTTTTCATTGCAATTCTGCCATGTATCCACCTGGAAGGAAGGCAGGAGAAAACCCTATAAAACCCGGGATGAAACCATAGACAGGGGATCACCCAACACCTCTGCAGGAGGCAAGGGTCAGGTGTTTTCCTCTGGTCCCATCCTGGGCAGGATAGCATAGGGCTGGCCGTGGAGCCATGAAAACCCCAGCAGGAGCCCAGCTAAGCACCCAACAGGAGGCCCCAGGCTAGAGTCAAAGCGCCTCAGCTGTGCCCGCGAAGCCTGCAGTCGCTAAGACTGCGCTGCTCCTGTGTGTCCAGCTCTCTGGAGTTTCAGAGGTGTTTTCTGCCTTTCCATATTCAAACCACACCCAAGACACTATGTGGGAGCCCCGTGTCCTGCCCCGCAGATCCCTGACCTCCGGCAGCTCCCGCAGCCCGGCCTGCTGCCCTGGGCGAGGCAGAGCCCACCAGGCTGCGGCCGGGCCGGGGCCTGCAGCGACGGGGGGCAGAGCCGGCGGTGGGAAGGGGGGTCCGGGAGGCCGGACCGACCACCCGCCCCCCTCCCTCCCCTACCCCGACGTGGGGAGGGGCGGCCCGGCCGCTCCGTGAGGAGCCGTGGCTCCGCCCCGGGGCAGCCGTGCCGGTCGGGGCAGCACCCCCGCCCGCCCCCGGGGCTGTGTGAGCCCCAGGGCCGCCGCCGGCCGTGCCCGCCCTCCCCGCCCCGCTCCTCGGGCCGATATAGCCGCGGGGGGCGGGCAGGGGCTGGCCCGCTCCCCCCGACAGCGAGGGCAGTTCCCTGGCTTCCGTCCCGCCCTGCAGAGGGACCCCGCGCCGGCAGCACCCAGGTGTCTGCCCCCTTCTTCCCTGCCTGGATCTTCCCGACATGGCTCTGTCCCTAGCCGGCGAGTCGCTCCCCGGAGACGGCAGAGACTCTCTCGGGATAAGCCCCGCCGGCCTCGCCTCCTACTACCCCTCTTTCCTCCCACCCGCCCATTACTTCGAGACGGCCCCCGACTTCTTCCAGCCCCTGAAACCCCTGGGCGAGCTGGTTTCCTCCTCGCCGCCTCTACCTCCATTCACCTTCAGCAGGGTCCCCGCTTTTCTGAGCCAGCCGCCCCCTCTGCCCACCGACCCTTTCCCCAGCCTTCCTTTGCCCGTCTACACCAGGCTGCCGGCCCCCTTCCCTCCCAGTGAGGGCTCGGCCCTCGGGACGGGGGCCCCGGGGTCGCTCTCGCCGCCCTACCCGAGCCCCCCGCGCAGGGCTGCCCGCAGCCCGGGGGCAGACGGGGCGGCGGGGCAGAGCTACAGGTACCACTTCACCGAGGAGGAGCTCAACGCCGTGCTCTACGGGGCACTCCGGAGCAGCCAGCCGGCCGGCAATCTCCACGCCATCTCGGGGCTCCGGGTGTCCCCCGCCAGCTCGGGTAAGGGGGTATTTGACTGCGGTGAGAGGGACACAGGGCGGCCCTGGGCGGCAGCTCGCTCCTCGCAGCCAGGTGTGCGGGAGGGTTCGGAGACAGTCCCAAAAAGGGGGCAGGCGGCCAGGCTCAAGCGGCATCCCCGGGGGCACGTCGGACTTATCTTCCCTGTGGTTTTCTTGCGTTACGAGCCCACACCTGGAAAAAGCTGGGGGTGATTCGGGCTGCGGCCTTTGTCGGGGAGGTAGGACCCGCTCCTGAAGAAGGGGTTCCTCTTCTGCAGGCGCTGCGGACTCCGCCGCCCCGCTGCTCGACCGGGACTCGCTGCAGCTGCCCGAAGGTAGGTGTCCCGCACCGCCCGCGCCCGCCCGGCCGCCCGCCCGAGCCGCGCTCAGCCCCCTGTCACCCGCAGGGCTCTCGGTGCTGCGGGTGGCCTACGGGGACGTGTCCCAGCTCGGAGTCTTCTGTACCGACCCCATCCCGAAAGGAGTCCGCTTCGGCCCTTTCCAAGGCAAAGTGGTCAACACGAGCGAGATCAAGACTTACGACGACAACTCGCTGATGTGGGAGGTAGCGGAGGCACCGTCGGGCTCACCCCGCACCCCCAGCGCGGGGCCGGGGCGAGGTTTTTGGCGTCCCCTCTGCCGTAGCCTGCAAGAGGGGCTCGGCCCAGTGTGGGTGGTGGGACTGGTGAGAGCAGGACGTGTACGGAAGGTCAAACCTGATCCTTTTTTTCTCTGCTCGCCAGATCTTTGAATACGGTGGCCTGAGCCACTTTATCGACGGGAAGGGCGCCGCTGGTAACTGGATGTCCCTGGTGAACTGCGCCAGGTTCCCCGAGGAGCAGAATTTGACGGCTATCCAGTGCCAGGGACAAATCTTCTACGAGACCTGCAAGGAAATCTTCCCGAACCAGGAGCTGCTGGTGTGGTACGGCGACTGCTACGTGCAATTTCTGGGCATCCCCATCAGCTTGAAGGGCATGGCGGAGGGGAAGAAGCCCCCGCAGCACCCCGAAGGTGAGCCTGCCAGCAACCCCTTGAACGACACTGCCCCTTATTCCCACGGACGTGTGCCTGGTCTGGATTAGATTCACACGAGGGGAGGTAAAGAAACACAAGCACCACCTTTGTCCAGCGTTTTACTTTAAAGGCTTCCCCGACCCTGCGATGAGGCGGTGGTGGTGACCGGTCCTGCCGCGGGGGCGGTGGCCCCGCAGCCCCGGTCCCTCGGGTCTGGCCGCCCGCTCTCCCAGGGAGCCGATCCCCGGCCGCCCCTTCCTGCGGCATCCAGCACCCCGAAGCAGCAGCTTCCCCTCGGCACCGGGAATCCGGGAGTTTGCACCGAGGGCTGCCGGCAGCGCGGAGCAAGAGGCTCCTCTTTATTCCGCCGTCAGTCCGCTCCCAGTCCGCGGTTCCTCGGGGAGTTTAAAGTGTTCTTTGGTCTGACGATTGTAAAACATCTGGTGGTCCTGGGCTGAGCTTGCCTCGGCCCTCAGCGCCGTTGTTCAGGGTCCCGTTTTGGGAGGAAATGGGCTTTTCGGGGTTATTCCACCTTTGGTCCTGTTCCATCTTAGGATTGCACACCTGACTTTCGTGTAATTAACGCTCTCAGTAAATGAGGCAGGCTGAAGTCGTTCCGATCCCCTAATGCCAGTATTGCTTGCAAAAGAAATGTCAAATGGACTTTACGCCAGGGTGAGGGAGGGTAGTTCTACTTGTAATGTACAGAAAGTATGATCTTATAAGCAAAATTTATGTATGGAGAAAACAGATTTGTGCCAGTGCAGGAAAAGCTGGAGCAGGGAAGGGATGGGTCAGCCCAGTGCAGCAGAAAGGGGGAGAAGCAAATTTGCATGAAAATTTGGCATGGAAAATTTTGTACCTGTTGTTTTGAAGTGTCTAATTTAACAGATGCTAAATTGTTAATTTCATCTTAAGGCTTAAGCTAAAGCTACTTTTATTAAAGACAGAAAAGAATGTATAAACGCCTGAAATTTTTCTGGTGTTTTTCCTAAATTCAGTGGTAAACAATGAATTGAAATTTTTAAAAAAGTCAAATAAATATGTTATTTTTTTCGATAGTTATTCGAAAACGATAGAAAAGGTGTGCAATTTTTTTTTTTCCTTTTGGGATGATAGGTCAAATTTGCGGACAATTCTTGATAAGAAATATCTCACAATGGTTGCATACGGGGAGAAGTTTTTATGTGGGACTCTGAATTGTTTCTTCACATGTTTTCTTGCTATTTATGGATATACAAGGATGAAATCCTGGTTTTGGCGAAGTTAGTGGCTAAACCGAATAATTTCAGCAGGCTGTGGGGTCTCGTTTGTTCCCCTCCTTTAAAAAGACAAGGGGAGCACTGCGAACACTCCGGAGATGCGGCACGTATTTTGTTAATGATATTGCCAGCATCAGTTTACAGTCGTTGCCCCCTGAGAGACTCAGAATTCCCCGTAGGGATCCCAGCTCTGACAAGGATGCAGATCTGGTCTGAATCCCTTTTGCCGGGGTGTAACGGAGACGTGGCACTTTCCCTTCTGCTGTACAGAAGCCGAGGAGAGCTTCAAGTGTGAGCGCTGTGGCAAAGTTTTTGCCTACAAGTACTACCGGGACAAACACCTCAAGTACACCCGCTGCGTGGACCAAGGGGACCGCAAATTTCCTTGTCACCTTTGTGACCGATCCTTTGAAAAAAGAGACAGGCTGAGGATCCATATTCTCCACGTTCACGAAAAGCACAGACCTCATAAGGTGAGCCTGCTCCCGGGTCTCTCCACAGTCACTGGCTCTTCTGAGGTACTTAATAAGTCTTTTTTTTTTTGGTCCAGATAAGATGCTGATAACGTTGTTCCTCCAGTTTCCCTGGCAGTTTCCTGGTGGGACTGCCCAGGAAGAGCTTGTCATGTGCAGCAAAGCTTGGTTAAGGAAATTTAATGGGTTTAGGTTGGGAAAAGAAAAACTCCACAGTCTCAGTTTAAAAAGAAAATTTCTCCTGGGTTTTTTGTGTGGTTGCATATGAATGTTGCTCCTTTTCTTACACAGTGTGAAGTTAACTTGTGTTTAAGATGCTTGGCTTGTCCAGGCTGAGGGGGGAGATGTCTCATGTCTGTTTCCAACACCCCACCCTTCGGTCTGAGAAGAGTCTGACAGCTTTATCTGTGTCTGTTGGACCGAACAGGGCTTAAAAGTTTTACATTCAGTGTGAAGCAGATTTTCAATTGTTGAAAGCAAATCTTTAAAATGCTTTACTCATCTCCACCAAACACCTTGCTTCTAGCACCAGTTTTCTCTAGCAGCACTGGGAATGGAAAATCAGACTTTTTCTAAAAGCCTGAGAAGGGCAAGTTCTAGTGCTTGAAATAGCACAGTTAAATCAGTCCTCAAAATTCTCCAAATACCTGTTTTATAGATCATCCTACAATGTCTATTTTTTTCAGAAAAAAACATTTTGTAACTAAAATGGCTATTACAATGTCAGAATATCTGCATGGAATTCGTAACAGAGAAAAAGTTTTCCATTAAATATGAGGTATTAAATACCATGTAATTCCTTTTCCTTTCCCTTGCCTTGGTAAATTTAAGCTTATTTTATTTTTTAGATAGTTTATCTTTTAGGGAAAAAAATTAAAACCGGGGCTGGAATGGAAAATCAGACTTTTTCTAAAAGCCTGAGAAGGGCAAGTTCTAGTGCTTGAAATAGCACAGTTAAATCAGTCCTCAAAATTCTCCAAATACCTGTTTTATAGATCATCCTACAATGTCTATTTTTTTCAGAAAAAAACATTTTGTAAATAAAATGGCTATTGACTATTACAATGTCAGAATATCTGCATGGAATTCGTAACAGAGAAAAAGTTTTCCATTAAATATGAGGTATTAAATACCATGTAATTCCTTTTCCTTTCCCTTGCCTTGGTAAATTTAAGCTTATTTTATTTTTTAGATAGTTTATAGTTTAGGGAAAAAAATTAAAACCGGGGCTTGATTTATAGATTTTTAAAAATGATTTTACGGAAGTTTATAGATTTTATTACTGAAAATCAATATTGTCTGTTCTGTAAAATAACAATTTTTTATTGAAACAATTTTAACAGAAATTATTTGAAATTTTGCATGGTTTTAATATATATATGTACATATGCAGATAAATTTGTTCTTAAAATCAGACTAAACATCCAGGTATTTCAATTTATTGCAGTTAAAATTGCTATTTTGTTTACACGTGAGTACATAAATACATGTGTATATTTGAATTATACGTAAGAAATGTGCACATCATCCACATACTTAATTTTTCCATTTAACTATGTGGTTACATGCTTCCTTTTAACTTTATTCCTTTTTTTTCCCCCCAGTGCTCTGTGTGTGGGAAGAGCTTTTCTCAATCCTCCAGCCTGAACAAACACATGAGGGTTCACTCTGGGGAACGCCCCTACAAATGTGTCTACTGCAACAAGGTAAGGCAAAGCCCTGCCCCATCCCTCCCTTTCTGCTGTGCTTTGTTTCTTCTGTTTTCTTTTAAGAAAATGCTTTTTATTGAACTAGTAACCAGATGAGTGGGTGTATATTCTGGGCAGCTGTGAGGTAAGGTGACAGGACTGGATGAGTTTCAAGAAACAGGGTCTGGTCCTATCTGACATGGAATCTGTGGTTCATACCAGCTCAGTGATCTGCTGCAGAAATAAGGTCTAGGGAAGCTTGAGAGCTTTTCAAATGCCATCCAAAGCATGCAGCTATATCCAGTATCCCACTTCTTCATCAGATAGATAATTTTTGGTGTTATTGACACTGCTTCTGGACTGCAATAAACAGATTTGGTCTATAAACTGAACCTGCACAATATGGATTTGTGCATGCTTACCTTGAAATATCAAGGCTGTTGGTGGACAGATGGGCATTGAGATTTCACTTAAAAAAGAATACAAGGAGAACCATACAGCCCTGATCAAAGATATGCTCTTCTGTTACTGCCCATCACAGCAGGGATGATTCAGATGAGCTCTCCCTGTGAAAGTGCTGGCAGCTCTCACAGCAGACAGCAAGTGGATGCACAGGCTGCTGTAGGATGAATATTGGTAGAGCTCCCAGTGCTGTGGAGTGTCCATGCAATACAGAAACCCCATCAGCAGTTGTATCTTGCTACTGATTTTGTAGAGAGAGAAGTTTTCTGTATGACTGGCTGGACTAACACAAAGATGAGGTAACCTGCTACTGATTTTGTAGAGAGAAGTTTTCTGTATGACTGGCTGGACTAACACAAAGATGAAGTGTCTTGCTGAAGTGCCCTTAGAGGAAACTCCTTTTGGCTATTATATTTTTTGTCTCCCCATGATCATCCTGAACATCTTATCAGAGATTTTAGAGCCAAACTCCTTTTGGCTATTATATTTTTTTTGTCTCCCCATGATCATCCTGAACATACTTCTTATCATCAGAGATTAGGATGAAATCTCATCCTTAATCTTCTGATCACAAGAGGAGGTGGCAGAGCTTTATAGGTTGCTCTGTAAAGAGATGTTTTGGGACTCTTGACCAGTCCCCAGCCAGTTCTGGTTGGACTGCTGTGGATTGGATTAGATTAAACTGTTTGTCCTCAGGCTGCAGGATGCAGCTACTTATCAGAGATTAGGAAATCTCATCCTTAATCTTCTGATCACAAGAGGAGGTGGCAGAGCTTTATAGGTTGCTCTGTAAAGGGATGTCTTGGGACTCTTGACCAGTCCCCAGCCAGTTCTGGTTGGACTGCTGTGGATTGGATTAGATTAAACTGTTTGTCCTCAGGCTGCAGGATGCAGCTATCCTAGGACATAGCCATAATTACTGAGGCTGGAAAACCAGGGTCTGTTTTAATGAATCCTCTCTGGCTCCTCCTATGCAATTACAATTCTTTTCCTCTTCCACCTCTAACAGTGGCTTTGCTTTTCCAGCTCCTTTGCTGGAAATCAGTGGTCACTTACTTCAGGAACACTGTGAGATTAAAGGAACAGTGCTGGGTCAGCATCACCATTCTCTCCCCAAAATATATTTTTGCCCTTGATATACACCTCTAAGGACTTATGTATAGGAATCTGTGGTCTTTTTGTTCTCTAAGGTTCCTAGTGAAAGAGTCTCTAAGATGTATTGCTGTTTGCCCTGAAAACTTATTAGAAAGTATTTATTTTGTGTGGTCTGTAAATAGTGAAGGGCCTGAAATTCTCTTTGGATAAGAAAAAATGGGGAAAACATGAGCAATTTTACAACATTCCTGCTCAAATTTTCATGAGAGAGTTTTATCCCCAAATGGAGAAGTCTTTATGACTTTGCTACTCAAAAGTGTTAGTGGTGGGGAAACTGGCTGGAAACTCTGCCAGCAGAAAGAGAAGAGTATGATGGAGCAGGGAAAATGAATCTGTAAATGATGTATGGTAGACTACATAGATGAATTTTAGCAGCTGAATCCCAAGACAGTCAAAGGGTTTAATTTAAAAAACAAAAACTGTAAGGAAAGCCTGCATTATGTTTCCCACACATAAATGAGCTGCAAAGTTAATTACGGTAGTATTGACTTCTTCCCTCTGGCATAGAAGATATTTACTGGTGTCTTTGGTCAGAAATCTTTCTCTGAGCTTCATATATCTCCACGGAGTCATCCACATCTGTATAGCAATAGCTGTTGCCTTGTGATTCCTCCTTGCTGGGAGTTTTCATTATTTTTTTCCGCTTGCCTGAGGAGTGGAAACGTGAGCTATTTCAGGACTTAATTTTCAGGGTAATGTGCTTCTGATGGGGTCTGGGTTACCTGAAGGTGGGGATTGCACGTGTGAAAGCAAATTACTTGCAACTCCATTTCCTTTCCTGCCCTGCCCTTGACGATCCCTGCCCTTTCAGGCGTTCACAGCATCCAGCATCCTGCGCACTCACATCCGGCAGCACTCGGGGGAGAAGCCCTTCAAGTGCAAGCACTGCGGCAAAGCCTTCGCCTCGCACGCGGCCCACGACAGCCACGTGCGGCGCACGCACAGCAAGGACAAGGGCTGCACCTGCTCCGTGTGCGGCCAGCACTTCCCCCAGCAGGAGGATTGCAACTTCCACATGAAGAGTCATGCTGCTCACTAGTCAGGAGCCCCACGGACGCGTCCTGGACCAGCTCATTGTGTGTTTCAGTCTGTGTGTTTCTGTTTGTGCGTGGCTGCGTGCACAGCGCAGGAGGTGACACCTGCAGTGGCTCTTGGGGTAGATCTGGTTTCTGGACCCAGGGCATGTGACTAAACACAGGGGACAGGGTACACCCTGGTGCCATTCTCTCTCTCCTCCCATAATACTGTAATCTCTAAAGACAGGATGGAATTCTACCTCCCAAAACCCCTTTGTGCACAAATATCACTGTGAGGAGTGTTTCTGCATCTCCAATGCCTATGGAGTGCCTGGTACAATCTGTATCAAGGCCTGTGTAAGGGTTGTTTTTATCAGGTGCATTTCTCAAAGCTGATTTAACCTGTTCGTGTTGTTTGGACAGATGACCATAGGTGTATGGTCTACTTACTCTTAACCTGTCTTTTAGTGATGTTCTGTTTAAATGTGAACTTCTCAGAGATACTGGCTGCTGGACGAACAAAGAGCTATTTTAAATCTTTTAGCTGCTGGGAGACTGAGAGCTCCAGGACTGTGAGACTAACTCTTCCAGAGAGTGCTGGATGCTGGTTAGCCCAGAGGAAGAGAAGTGGGGTGTGGTAAGATATACTCAGGCCTGATATCCCACCTAGCAGTTGGTTTTGTCTTCTCAAGAGTTTGGAGGACCAAACATGGTGATATTCCTAAGCATCAGTGAGCCATTGGGTAGATAATGAGCAGTCAAGTGGCCTGACAGAGGTGTTTCATTGTAGGCTCAGAGCAGGCCAGAGGCAAACACAATCGCAGCAGTGGTCTCTTCTTTCTGTATTTCCCTGAACTTCTCTGGTCCTGGCCAGGTGAATCTTTGCAGAGAACATTGAAATGAAGGGTGGGCTTGTCTGCTTCCTCCTGGCTTTATGTTGGATTAATGTAAAGTGATACCAGGACTCCTCAGTGCCTAAAACTCTACACATAAAATTCTTTTCCTGGTCTGCAGGGAAGGGGCTTTGCTTCCACGGGAGGACTGGAAGGTGTCATCCTCCATGTCTCACTACCCACACAAGCAATGCAGGAGTGTGGTCAGTGAGACATTTTCAATTCTTAAGAAAGTTGCGTTCTGTATCAATGTGAAATTTTAACTAGGAAGCTTATCAAAAAGCCTGTACTGAAGGACTGCTGAGGATAGGGAGTGCTGTAACTGGTATAGAAGTTTAAATTCTCACTGAGTGACCACAACGACAGGCAGAAGGTTGTGCATATGAGAGGGCTCACTGTGCCAGTGGGACTGTGTGTTGCATCCAGGAGGAATAATGGAAGTCCTTTTTGGAGCTAGTTGATAAACACATGTAGTTCGATATTACTGGGATGATAAAGTTCTCTTCAAAGTATCCTAGATCAGCTAGGATTAACAAGAATTTTGTACATAAAGTAGAAGAAAGTAAAGTTTTTATTTTGTACCAACTTTATTGGTCTCTTTAAATACAGCATAAAAATAGAAAATACTTTACTTGTACATTTAATTATACTGTGCAGATACTGTATCCTTAAATATATTGATTTGCACTAATTTTATAAGGTTTTTTGTATCTCAAATTGCTCTGTTCTCATTGTTTTCATGGTAAAAATATTTTTTAGATATTTATTGAATCACTTACTGGTAAACAAAATATTGAGGCCCAGCACTAGGAAGTATGTGAAATAAGCAAATCCGTTTGTATTGTATGTTTATACATGTAGGTTTTAGAGTATGCTCTGATTATTGGTTTTTGCTTATTTTAATACCAAATATTACTATAATACAGCAGGCTAAATATTTTGCATATTGAGGGCTGAATCCCTGGCCCCTAAATAGGTAAAATTTACCTATTTAGAGGCCAGAGAGCAGAAAACTATCACAGTACTTATGTGTACAAACTATGCTGTGAACCTTTCTTCCAGCTGCCTGCTATCTAGGAGGATGGCTACAAACATACAAAATCGTGGCCAACAGAAAAAAGAATTATGTGTGCGAAGCCTTTGTTAGTTCAGTCCCTTAAAAAAAAATCACTATTTGGTGAAATAAACTGCCTACGAATGAAGGAAATGTTACGACTAGGAATGGCTTTAAAGTACTGTGAAATGCCTGGTTAGCTTCCCATGCAGGTAACCTCCTTTTTTGCTCTGAATGAAGGTTGTATGTTTAAATGGTGCCTCTGTAGAGTTTTTGTGTGCATTTTCATCTTCTTGAAGAAATCCCAAATGTCTTGTGCTTAATTGTTTGCACCTTTCTATAGTATTTGATGTGTTGCCTATAAAGGAGTATTTGAAGGGTTATACTTGTGATTGAAGGTACTGGCTGTCTTGCACATTAAAACCGTTTATGTAAATTTTGATGCTAGTTATTGTGCACAAAACCATGCTATAAAAAGCCAGTGTCCATAAAGGAGACAGAGGAGTCCTGCAACTTTATTTGAATAAGGGGAGGGAGAGTCCACTGGGGTTTTGGAAGACTGAGCCTTCTTCTATCCTAAACTCCCGGCTGCATGTTGCCCTCTACCTTTCCCATTGGCTGAGGTACAGCCTTCCCGAGCTGCCTTGAACATTTGTCATTTTCTCCCAAAGTATGTAGGTTCTGCAACAGGCTTTGCTGACCCATTTTTCTATTACCATAAAGTTTAGGAGTTTAGGCTGTAGTCAAATTGTATGGGTTCTGTAAGAAACTTTCAGCTTGAGTTTGGTAGAGACATTAAGACCCATCTCGAAGACATTAACACCCGTTTGTCCTAAAGACCCTCACCCATCGAGTTCTTTGTGAAGACATTAGTACCCATCTTTCCTATTATTACTCTTGCAAATAATAAAAGTAAATTGTTAGAGGCTGCAGTGTACACTAATAGGCTGTGGCTTGTTTTCTGCCAGATGCAGAAAACTGTATTTGAGGTACTAGCAAATGGTTGAAGGATGTTTTCTCTGTCATTTGTAAGTCATTACAGAGTCAAACTCTCTCTTATGGGGAATTCTAGTCCTTGTCCTGCTGGACAGCAGCTGACTGCACAAGAAGTCAAAGGCACCCTCTGTCTTGATGGATTTGGTCTTAAGTACCCTAACAGTTCATGAAAGCTGAGAGCATTCACTTCTGGATTGAGTTCACTCCCACTTGCAAGCAAGGTGATTGATCCGGATTGAGCGCTAAAAAAAGGAATTAAACTACCTTGTAGCATTTAACTACCCTGTAGAGTGATCCTCTCCCTTTTGAATAGTGAGTCCCAGCTGTGCTGGGGACAGGATGGCGCTTGGCTCTGCAGACTTCACAGCAGGGTGGGGAGAAATGCGTCCGGAGGGAGGTCAAGCTGAGCCGCCTGTAAAACCACTGCAGATTTTAGTTTTCTGAAACGAAAATGCACTGATTGTCAGAGCAAACAGATTGCTGTTCTTGCCAGATGGGAGTTAGGAGAGATTAGGGAATCCTCCTGTAGTATACCTGTACCCTGTGTGTGTCCAGTGAGCTGAGGTTTTCCTGCCTGAGGATTTGCACATTTACTTGTACCTTTTGTGGCTGTGGTCTCAGCATCTGAGTGAATGTGCAGCTCTAGCCAGCTCAGCCAGGAGTAGGGTTTTGGATATTTGTACACACCGCCAAGAAGGGGGGAGACTGAGGGAGCGTGTGTGCATGCTGCACTTTTCTGTCTGGCAGGATCCCAGAATGACTGCATGGCACAGAAAGACATGTTCATGAAGGAGGCTGCACTGCAAGCTCAGCAGAAAAGAGAAGATTTGTGATCATGTGTAAAATCTCAGTCCTTGTGCTGGGCAGTCCCGGCTGCCAGGTCTGTCCTGGTGCTTCATGCTCCTGCAACTATTTCTGAGCTGAGGCAGCAGAAAGGACATCCCTGCAGCTCTCAGGGGGCTGGGCTGTGGCGTTACACGCTGTACTAAATCCATCTCTTCCATTTCTTGGCATCTGCAAATATAGGACAGAAGTGTTATTTTCCATGACAGTAACTACAGTAATACACTATGTGCAATATAGTGAGAAACACCCGTGTTTCTCAGTTAGTTTGGCTTAAACTGGCTGTGGGGTGGTGCCCCTGTCTGGGGTCACATTTGTCACTGCTTTCACTAAGGCAAAGGATGTGTGTGCACCCTGGCTCTTCTTCCCTTAACTAGGATTAAAAATGGCCCTCCCAAGGGGAGCAGCAAGACAAGTCCCTGGGACTAATCCCTCCTGTAAGACACTAGCTGACTTTAAGTGCTCTGCATTAACTCTGTGTGAGTTTTTAAAATGTTAATAGGAAGTGATCTAAATAGAAACCAGAGTATGAGGGCAATCAACTGTTTTGTTGGAGCAGAGGGGTGCAGGGAGAGAGACTGTGTGAGGCTAACTCCTGAAATGCTCCTCCTGGGTAAATGACAATGGGGAGACAAAGAAAAAGGTGGTCCCAGAGCTCAGGCTTGCATGTGTGAAAGAACAAAAGGCCTGGCCACAGACATCTGCTGCCTCTAGCATCTCCTGCATATCCATGTTTTTCAAACACCTGGTCCCCAGCCCCTGCTGTCCCCGTCCCTGTCCTGCTGCTCACTCTGGAGAACAGGGAGGTGGTTAACCACTGAAGGAGGGTGAAAAGCAGCAAGGAGCTTAGTGAATTGAAGATAATGTCACAAGCAAATATTGGTCAGTGCCAAACTATCCATTACACAAGAGAGATTGTTCACCAGAGGAGCCCTGACTAGCTGTCCCCTTCTTAAGAAAGCTATTCCTTGGGTCCCCAGTCTCCTACAGGCCTTTGCAGCAAGTGCTGGTGTTTGTTTTACCCCTACAGACACCTTCACCATCACCTTCATTTCCCTTTCTCTCCTTATACACATGCCCTTGCACTTTCTCCCTTCTGTCTCTCCTTAACACACTTAGTGCAGGGCCTTGGGCACATGAGGGAGGAGTGTGAGGCTCTGTCTTTGCTCTCTTCTTGTTCTTTTTCAACCTTAGGTGAAACATGTCCAGACTTTCAGTCTGTGTTTTTATGGTGTTTGACTCAAGCTTTAAAGAGGCTTCATCTCCACCAGCCTTTTCTGAAAAGCCATCCCCTCAAAGGTTCCTGGCGTTGGGTGTTGAAAACTGGGGCTGTGCAGCAACACCAGGGGACAGTGACAGCACCTCTGCCTCTCCTGCAGTGGGGCTTGAGGGACTCTATTCTATCTCCATCCCCATCCAGCCACTCTGCAGCAGCCTTGATGTAGGGGCTTTCATGAAACCTCAGCTTCTCTCCACTGTAGCAGTGACAAACCAGACTTAAACTCACAGGTCTAATCTTTGTTGCAGGACTAACCTGCTGGCCCAGCAATTTAGTAGTGTAGAGAGCACTTTTGAATGCCTTGCTGTGAGAATGCCACACAGTCCTGCAAACTGCAGTGTTATCAGCCTGCAAAGTAGCAGGGAGAAAATCCAATCCTTCCACTTTGACTGCAGGAGCTTGAGCAGAACCAGTAGGAGATACCTTAGTCATGAACAGAAATGCAGGAGCAGAGAAAACACCCACTGGGAATTAAGGAAAGAGGAAGGGATGATTACTTGGATTATACTGGCCAAAAAGAGCAATTCACAGATAACCCCTGAAGTGAAATCAAGCTTCCTAGAGAGCAAGACTAAGTCCTTCCTCTGTCCAAATCAAAGTGGGGTCAGTAGCACTCCCTCTGGAGCTGCAGAGGGTCGGTGCAGAGGTGGTGGGGGTCTTGTGAAAAGTCACTCCCCGGAGAAGTTTGGCTTTCCCACGAGTGACCGCAGTGCAGTGGCCAGGGCAGGCCCGCAGCAGCGCTGGGGCCAGCTGAGGGATTACCTGTATTGATTCTCTGATAGCTGTCAAGGTGGAGGGAAAGACTACTCTGCCACCAGCTTGGAGCTCTTAGCTGAGCGGGAGCATAACCACCCCATTAAAGGTTTCATTCAATAGCAATCTTTACTAAAGTAAATGGATAACAGCAGCCCCCCTGCCCCCAGCCCCTAATGCAAGAGCCATTATGGAGCAGGAAGGCAGCACACAGGAATGTGTATTTCTGTAGTATCAGTTTCACCAACAGACTCTTAATGAAAAGTGGATTTGGTTTTAATTTTTTTTTTTTGTCAGTGATGTGAAAACCCCCATGAAACAACCCAAGGAGAATCTGCTCTTCTTCTTGAACCCCCTTCCCCCAGATCTTGCTGTATGGCTGTACCCATCAGTAAGCAGAGTGGGAACTTGGGCTGGCAGGATCCTGCTGCTGCTGGGGATGGGCAATACCTGCAGTACTACTGCTGCTGGGGATGGAGCAGGACGTGCTGGAGATGGCAGTGCTGGAGGGATTGGGGGTTTTCCCTTCCATGTACCATGTGCAGTGCTGGAAAAGAGACAGTCCGGCCCCTGGAGGGCAGGATTTTACTTTTCTGCTCTGTCTGGAGCTGCCTTCATGAAAGCTTCTTTCCTTATGCTGGCAGCAAAAGAAGGCTTCACACCATGGCTCTGAAGGCAGCAAGGCCCCTGCTGGGAGTCTTTACTCCACACATTGTAATGAGGCACATTCAGAATTCTGTGTACCAGTCAAAACGAGTGTTTCTCTCTCGACTTTGGTGGACCTCCAGACAAGAGGAGTATGAAACCTTGTATGGATGTTACTATATTTATCACATTAGGCTTCTATTTAAGCCATACCTCTTCTAAAGCTTCTTCCTCTTAGTTTCACAGCTGGAGAGATCACACACACAGTTAATGTAATGCACGCAAAACAAAATTCAGCGTGGAAAAACGTACCATCAAAAGGGAAAATTTCTGGATAAATGACATTTAGTTGTTTGCTCAAGCATCTGGGCTCTTTACTCATCCCCCCACACCCACCCCCAGGACCCTTCCCAAGGGTGTCCTCAGCCTTATGTTTTGGAGATTAGAAAAACGAGGGATGGAGAAGGACCCCTTCAGGCAGACTGCTTTTTTGAGTTTCTTTCCATCAAAGAGAGAGTTCTAATGCCAGATCGGGAAGCAAGCTCAGAGAAAATCAGTCTGATCTTACCTCCTCGTGGGGAAGGTCCCTGAATTTAGGGCTTTTAAATTCCTTTCCTGTTTCTATGCTGATGTAACACTGTTAACATAGTTTGTTTCTATATATTGGACTTTTTAACTAGTTGGAGTAACTGGTAACTGGCCAAATTTATTCAGATGGTCTGTCTGGCCCAGTTTAGTTGCCAATGGTTTTGTAAGTTTAAGACATGAGCAATAGGGCCTGGCATGACAAAAACATTCTTCCTTTATGGCTTTCATTGCTTTTGTCTCTTGGGAGCTGTTTTGGCCAGGATGTTGTTATGACAAAAAAAAAAAAGTTCTGTGGGAGAGCTAAAGGAGAACAGTTGCT